GATCCCACAGCTACAAATACTCAACTATCCCACATACTACAGCAGGACACAGAGTTCTGAGTACTGTCCTCTGAAGATGCCAGCCACAGAGACTGGTGAAATGTTAGGAAGAATAACCTTAGGAACATGGCCAAACAGCCCCAAAAACTTAAAACAACCATTGGATCCCGGCTGTGAAAGCCTTTGAGAATATAAACAATTTACAGTTTTGTAGACAGCTCAGGAATGGGAAACATTGCTTAACCTATTAATGTTAGCCAAACAATTTTTAACAGTCCTGAGAAGATTTCCTAATACATGTGTGTTTGTCGTTTAGTCTATGAAGCTACTTATAATTATCTCTGTAGACTTTTAACATGTGTTTCAAAAGCAAAACATTCATCTGGGTACTTCTTGTGTGTTTTTCCCTTTTCCCAATGAGAAAGGCTACTGAGGTGGAGAAAGAGGAAAAAGAAAAAGTGATTAGAGATGAGAATGCAAAGAGTTGAGAGTCATTGGGGTACAAATAGACAAGGGAGTAACGGAAGAGCTGTTGTTATAGAAGCAGGAAATGTCCTGTCGTGTTGAATGTGGGAAGGGGATGCAGAGAGAAGAGGGGAGAAGAGGACGTACACAGTGTAAAATACAGAAGAGCAAATGGATTATCAGAAGTCGGTTAATAGAAAACTAAGGGCTAAATTTTTTCTCAAAAAAGATAAATTTTCCAGTGCATATAAAGCAGTGTTTTATGAATAAACATGTGAATCAGTTCCCATTGGATTATGCACCCATTTTAGATATTTTTCAGAGTTTTAGCTTCTTCCCTTCTATTTCCCATGTTCACATGGGAGTGTTCTCACCTGTAAGTGGCTAAATCAGCACTACCCACTTACAAAAAGCAGACTGGGTAAAGCCCAAAGTTTGCACAAGTAGGAAAGAATTTTTAGGGGGAAAAAGTATCTCTCAAAACAAGCTGATGAGGACTATGGAAAAAATGCAGAAGAAATAGATGTGGAAAGGAATGAAACAAAGTATCATGAAGAAGAGCATGGCTGGCTGACTAGCACAATGAACCTGAAAAATCTGCACAAGTCTTTCTTTGTAGTAGTTTAAAAAGCATAGTAAATGTCGCTGGTCAGATATCTACTGTTGTCTCAGTACTTTTATAGCATGTGAAGGTGAAGGTACTGCTCATTGAGCTTCAGCCTCTGTTGCAATTTTTCCGATATCTTTAATCTCTAATTTACCAGCTTTTGCCCAATGATTCTTTCCTTTAAATTACAGAGATCTGACAGGGTCTCCCTTAGCAATAAGGTTGCAGGCTGTCCACATACGTTGTGACATGCTAAAAGGTGAGAGGAACCACAGCTGCTTTTGTGTTTAAAGCTTTACTTTGGCTTCGGAGACAATCAGCCAGTGATGAGATATCAAGCAGGAAACTTTTATGCAATTCAGAAAACTATTGCAAGGTTATGAGACAAAGAGTCAAACTAGAGATGACACTTATCATGTCATTAGAAGCAGAGGTTCCTTAAGAAATAAAAAAAATTCTGCTAAGTAGGGGTTTTCTGCAGCTCCATGTATTGCAAATGAGCTTGCTTTTATCTAGCGATTGGTGGTTGGGAGATAAACAGATTTGTAAGTCTGGTTTCTGAGATATGGCACCTGAACGGAAATGCATGCCTGAAGGGAAAATGTTGTAGGAGCAGGAAATGCAAATTTCCCTTAATGTGCACTTTGACTCTCAAAAGATTGGGATGGAGTGTGGAATTATAAAAAACAAAATGGGAACTTCCTGGGAAGTTCAAATATGAGATTTCTGCCAGTTGCCTTTAATATAATGTTCATGTGATGCAATTGCTCTGAAATAGACATGGATGACACAGCAAATTGACAAGTATATTTAGACAAGCAGTTCCATAAGTAATTCAAAATTAAGGAAACCTATTGAAGATGACATATCTTCCAGAGGCAGATGAAGAAGTCTGCTGTCCAGTGCTATTTTGAGCTCAGAGGTTATTAAAATGTTTTTGTTCCTTGAAATTGTACTCTTGGCCACATGTTTTTTTTAACTGTGCGTGAAAAGTGCTTGGCAGGCTTTGCTGCCAGTAAAGTAGATTGTATACATAATGCATGTCAAGTCTTGTAGTGTTCCTTGATCTGGAAGAAATTTAATCTTGCAGTGACCTTTTTTTAAAGGAATATACACTTGCTGACATTGCTAAGGATCAAGTCACTCCCAGCATATTGAATGTGGAACACCATCTTTATTTTTCCTTTAGGTGAAGCTGATGTTGTATTTCAAGATCACTGTATTTGGATGTTCTGAGATAGGAATAGATACTCAATGGTTGAGTATGGTCTATACTCAACCATTTTGCTTCTCCCTTCATGTAAACTGGCAAACAGACTAGGAAGTCTTCCATTAACTGTGGTTTCCTATTTCATCTGAAACAGTAAACCACTATTTACAGCTTTGCCAGGATATTAAACTGATTTAATGTTGGTTCAATATCCTGGCTTCTTCAAAAGCTTTTAAAGCCTAGATTGCTGATTTGGATAAAAAAGAAAACTACAACTAGTGAAAGGCATCTTGGTTTCCTTGCTGGCTTGCACAGAAAGGCTGCATGCACAAAACAAAAGGCTCATTCGTATATTAGCCACACTGTTTTACAGCCAGCCATAGAACTTCTTACTCAGCCAATTTTGCAAGCATTGAGAGGCTAGGTATATACAAAGGGAAGCCTACGGATGGCGGAAGAATGCTTTCCTGATTACCCTTCCGTGATCACATAACATGACAGGATACTGGCTAGTATGACTTTTATTATACAGAAAGCTGCATTTTACCATTTTCTTTCTGGATATATATGGTGTCCTGAGCTTTAAAAAATGAGGCACAAGGTGTAGGTTCTTAGAGTAGACCTATTGAAGTCAACAACACCTAAATTGGTAATTTTTACTTATTTATTCCATTAACTTCAATGGGTCTACACTATGTATGACTAAGTCTGCATCCCCAGCCCTGTCTGGTTTTACTTGAAAGTCAAATATGGGCTCTGTGTACATTTGTGATGAATGAACCTGAAATGCTTCCTTTCTGCACTAAAACAAAACTAAAAAGAGAGAAGATGAAATTACTATTTACATGTTGCTGCATGCTTTCCAATTGTTTACAAATCCAGCTTGTAAGAGCAAAGGGGCAGTTCTCAGGAAATGTTCTTGCTCAGTGACATTTCCTAGAAATGTAAATTTCCAAGTAATTGCCAATTTTCTCTTTTTGTTTGGCTATCATTTATTTGAGATGCTTGTCAAATGTAAATGAAATTTATCTTTCCAAAATGTTAACTCTTCTTTTAACTTAATGGGAAATCTTGCCTGTTAAGACTTCTAATCTTATCAGAAACCTAAGTCAGAAAATCTTTTATGTGCATTAATATATTAAATGCATTTTAGCCAGAAAGGTGCCACTGCCCACCTGTCTGTGGAAATCTTGTTAGCATTGGCTAATGCTAAATGAGCTTCTTAAATTAGCTCCGTCCTTCTGGAAATTGATTGGATGAGATCCAAGAAGCCGTTATCCTCTTGCATCTTGTTTGAAATAAAGCTTTTGGTGCCCTGGGGGTAAAGAGGGAAACTTTAGCTATCATTCATTCTAGTGGAAATGATGTCCCTCATATTATCCGATACAGAGATCTTAGTACTTGAACCCTATCTTACGACCAGTTCAGGTCAGAACTAGATAGGGCAGTTAAAAGTAGTTTTTCCTTTTATTTTCTGTGGTATATAGCGTAAATCTCCATCTTATTCCAAAAGCTCTAGACTGGCATATATTATAGGTTCAAACCTGTATGATATCTCATGGATGAGGAACTGTTGTTGCTCTTGATTTTTCAGACTATAGTTCCATCATCTATGACTGGCTTTGTTGACTTGGGCATCTGGAAGTTAAAATTCTTGGAGGGTCTAATACCATTGTGTGATTATGTGAGAGCAATTGCACAAGCAGTGAAAGGCTCTATGCTGGCTGGTTATCACATAGCTGGTCATCCTCTGGTTGTATAATTAATAATTTGACTGGGCACACAACTGAGAGCTAGTAAAATGTGAAAATTGCTCCCACCATTAGTCTTCCATTCACAGTATTTCAAAATATGATTTTGGCCAAAAAGCCTACATTCTTTTTAAGTGTCCACACGATTGGCAGTTTGTGCTGGTTCAGCCAAAGGCCCACCAACTGTTCTGTGATTTAGCACCCCATCCTTTCCGGTGGGCACCCACTTGGAAGCAGTGCTCCGACTTGCCTGATCCATCTCCTCTGGGCACTGCCAAAGGGGGCAGGGTGCCAAACTGCAGAAGACCTATTGGGCTGCCAGTCAAATTGGCATGAAATGCTGAACCAGTGGTTGGTGCCCGTCTCTGCTCTGCATCTAGGAAAAAAATGGACTTAAGGATGGTTGCGTCAGTAGCTTTTTTACCAAAAACCTCAAGGGTGAAGGAGCCGGTGGCCTTGCCTTAAAAATAATGCTCAATGAAGAGATCAGACATAAGAAGAAATTAGAAGCAACTACGACATGCTTCATGTTCTTACAAACCCTGTGAACAAGAGGAGGATATTCAGCAATGACTTATTCTAATTTGGAACAAACTATTGCTTGCTATTTCCATCAGAGAGTGGCAGCTTGTTCCTGGTTACTTTGTTCTCAAATAAGAAACCATTGTCTTGTCTCAAATGAAGATCTGGAAGTGTGGTTGAAAAGTCTCAGTGGAATGTTTATGATAGGGTGGGGTTTAATTCATATAAACTTCACTGTCTTGAAGTTTTGTTGCATCTTGCTCCTAAAGATCATATGGAATCATTGATTACTGTGTTAAGCTCCAACCAGCACAGAGCCATTTGGTATGTTAGACCTCTTGTTTAAAGAACAATTAATGACACTATTCCACAGTTCCCGATTATATTTAAATATTATTTAAACGAGAATGCTCAAATAACCTTTAATGTCCTTTGCTGTCTGTAGGTTGGAAATCTTCCAAATGATTATATGATAGTCCTTAAATATGTCCGGAAGATGGACACTCTGGTATGTACAGTTACTTGAATTCTTTTGTATTAAATAACTAAGGGAACCACCAGTGGCACTTGCTTTCTGATCTTATGAAGTTTGATACAATTCTTTGTAAAAAGACACAAACCTGCCAAAGTGGAGTCCTGTTAAAACCTGTTGGCTTCTTTGTGTGAGTTCTACTTTAAAAATTCAATGTGAGAGATTTTGGTGGGATTGTGCCACATATTTTTTTTTCTTTAGATATAAAATGCAATAAATTCTAATTAGCATGCAAATCCAGGGAACAATATAGTTTTTTGATTGAATAAATTATTTGAAATAATTATTTAACTTTTAGATAAATAATTCATGTTGTACAGTGCCTTTGGCAGAACAGAGAAACAAGTATGCAATTATCATTTCTCAAGTGAAATCCATACAAGAGATTGCCAAAGAACAGCTACTTTTGTTCGGATAATTATTACTATTATTTTCTTAATGAATGTGTAGTGTAATCAAATGTGTATTTTGTTTTTCTGACATATATGCCCTGCTTCATTGTTTTCTTGCATAATTTTGTAGTTTATGCACGCTTTATTTCAGTGCTGCTCATGTTGTTTTGGAAATATGTATTTTCGTCTTCTCAAGAATAACATTTTCATACGTTTCCTAAAGGTCAATTTCTTAGTCAGTTTTCAAATGCTTTGTTCCATTTTCCAAAGACTATTAAAACAAGGACACTATCTCTCAACACTCAGAGCAGTTTTGCTAAACTTAATAATTACCTTAAATGGCAAAAACCAATTAATCTGATTAATTAATTTAACATGTTTCACATGATAACAAGCAAATTTAGAGGGTTCAGAAAATGGCTACTGAGTTAATGATAAATGATACTGGGTTGTATTGTCTTCATCTCGAAAGCCTAAAAGCCAACAGATAATTGACATAAGCTAATTATCTACTGCCAGGATGTTTACGTAGTCAACACTTTGAAAGTTTGCCACTGGTGGTGATAATGGTGTCTGTCATCTTCTGTATCCTGCCCCTGTAATGACGTGCACTGTGTGTATAAACTGTGGCCTAAATATTGTATTCCATACATCTGAGGAAGTAGATTGTAATCTATGACGTTTGTACTGAAATAAGTCTGTTAGTCTTAAAAGTGCTATAAGCCCCTTTCCTTTACTTTCTTCTTCTCTCCTCTACTTTTTTCTTTGCCTTTTGCTTTGTCATGCTTTGCATCCTTGTTTCTTTTAGAAAGAGTGTGAAGATGTATCTTTTCAACATTTTATTTTATGCTGTCTATATTATTGTGATCACAGTTTTTATTTTTTAAATGATTTTGGCTTGTCCATCAGCTGCTCTTGAGCACTATTTTTAAAGAGAAAGGTAGAATTAAAACAAAGACAATCTTAAAAATAAATCAATAATAAATAAATTACAGTATATTTAAAAATAATTAGTGGGGGTGAGGATTTAGTGAAATAAAAACTACATACCAAAAAAGGAGAGAATATTGTGATGGCCAGTCATGTTAATGTTTCTTCTTGTCTAATTTCCTTTTTTGTGTAGGCTATCATGTGAAGCACGAACACTACAAGCTACCTAATTTATAGGTGGAGCTCCTGTATTCATAGCTACTATTTGACCCCTTCCATCCATCCATCCATCCATCCAATTTACAGTATATCCTGTCCATCCTCATAAGAGTTCAGGGCAGCTAATGATTTACACAAAAACACAGTTAAAATTATAGTCCAGAATCACAGATCTAAACCCACAGATTGTGCATAGCTAAAGGGCAAATCTCTGAGCAAATTATCTAATTTGAGTTACTAAATTAACACTGATTCTATGGGCCTACCCTAGTGTGCCTTACTATGCTAATTAACAGGATCTCATACTATCCACTGGTAATAGAAAAAGTTTGTGTTTTCCTATTTATAAAGTTTTTTTTTTTTACTTTGATGTTCCATATTGGGGTCACGAAGGGTCGGACACGACTAAACGACTAGACAACAATGTTAAATTAAAAATCACAAAATATTGGAATATTGGTCCGTTCATGACAGTAGCTAAAATATGCCTAAAATTGAAGCAGGTATTCTTAAATTTCATTTGTGTAAGTTTTCACACTAACCTGTCTGTACAGAGTGCAGCATGACTTTGATCAATACTCAAAGCTGTGCTATCAGCATTCTGATAGCATTGTGTGTCAAAATCACCTAGTGACTTGTCTAGGTCCTTGCAAGCTAAAATCAATAAGTGGAGAAGGTAAAAGCAAAATGAGAGCAGTAGCCTCATTTTCAGTTTGGACAAAGGAATCTACTATGTTTTTCCTTCAGTATCACAAAATGTTTCAAAGTAAGTGTGAGTAGTAGAAATCTGTAAGATATATCCTAAATGTATTTATATTATCTTGCAAGTTACTCCCAAATTTTCATGGTATTCAGGCCATATGTGATTGGACTTTTGAACATTATGTATGCTCAGACATACTTTTTGTTGCTGTTATGTGTTATCAAGTCAGAACCAACTTGTAGGAACCCTAATGGGGCTTTCAAGATAAGTGAGGTATTTGGTTTTACCAGTTCTAGCTCTCCAGTGAGTTTCCATGTCTGAGTAGGGATTCAAACTCAGGCCTTCTGAGCCTAGTCCATCACTCTATCCATTACACTACGGCCTAGTCCATCACTCTATCTATTACACTATACTCAATATCTTCAGACATATTTAGATCTTTGTTATTTTTCTGATAGTTAGAATCTAATTGTCAATTGCACTTTTATATGTGAAATGATATAAACTGTGGCAGCAAATCACTACAAATTAATGAGGGGGTGGTTGTGATCTTGTGCAGTGAACAATCTCAGACACATGTGTAGGAATGCAACCAGCAGCTCATTAACCAGTCATAGTTCCCCATTGTGTCTTATGCCATTTAATTCATACAAACATAATTCAGCAGTTTGATTCTGGTCAATGACCTATATTTTCTGTATTAAAAAACAAATTAATGCAGGACCTGCTGTTTGAATAATCTTTCTTTCTTTCTTTCTTTCTTTCTTTCTTTCTTTCTTTCTTTCTTTCTTTCTTTCTTTCTTTCTTTCTTGCTTGCTTGCTTGCTTGCTTGCTTCCTTGCTTGCTTGCTTCCTTGCTTGCTTGCTTGCTTGCTTCCTTCCTTCCTTCCTTGCATAAAGTGCTGGTACTTAAAAAAAAAAAAAACAGGTGCCAAGAAACAAAACAAAGTACCCAAGCTGCATATTGTGTATTACCTCCTTTTCTCCCCTATTCCAAGACAACTTCTGTTATCCTTAGTTTTCAATGTCAGAATCAACACATTCCTGTTTATTCCATGACAGATATGATATAGATCTTGCACTGAAGACATAACTGAATTTGGTGGTCTCAACAGATATCCATTAAGTTGGTTGTATATAACATTCTTCCACTTACTGCCAACCTAATGAATGGATACATTCATGAGAAAGAGTTTTTGTGTCTACCACAGAAACCCTTAAATAGCATCTGCGTCTTACTAAGTCAGGATGCTGCAGTGCTAGTGATTGGGCATAACAGGGCAATAAATAAGTTTGGTTTGAAGATCCACATGCCTATCTATTTGATATTCTTGTCCTATCGGAAGGCACTTTGCTCCTGTGGAGCTTTCCATCAGTAGAGTGGTGAAGAAAGCTCTGCGGCCACATTCTCACTATCCTTTGCATTCCTCCCATGCCATCCCAAACACCCAGGAACAGATTGGCAAAACAGAGGGCTCCAAAGAAGAGAATGTTGTTGAAAATGGACTCCCTTCCTTTTTCCATTGGCAAAAATCTTCACTGGATCAAGGAAGGAGTTTTTCATTAGCGAAAGAGACACCGATTGGATCCTATGACATGGGTGTCACCATTTGTCATGTGTATAAACCAGGTCACAAATATCCTTTAGAATGCTTTTTTACAGTTACAATGATTTGTCCAGGGAGACTTGGTGAATTTCACATCAAGCTACTTCATTCCGATCAAGACTCCCTTAATACATGCTCTGCAGCAAAATTTTGTGCATCATCCATGGCACAGTGCTCCCTTATAGTCTCCTGAGTTCACAGGTTGACTGGTTTTAGCATGAGGGTGGTTTATTGTTAAGCATAGAGAAATGTTGTGGAATAAAATGTTCCTCTGAAGGGAGGAAATGCTTACAAATCTTTACAAATCTGTTGGAAAGACTCCCTATAACCCAAAAACCAGTTTGCCCTAGACAATCCAGTGGTTCAAAGGATAGCTATAAAAATGCTGTATTTGATTCTCCCCATATTTTATAATTACTACGCAATTAATTATCTGTTGTACACTTTTTAAATTGCATTTTGTATATTTTAGACATAAATATGCTTTAGGAGCTGGTCACTCAACTGTAATAAAGAAAGAAAGAAAGAAAAGAGAGAGAGAGAGAGAAAGAAAGAGAGAGAAGTTACAATGATTTTCTAGAACAAAATATGAAGATACATATCTTTTTAAACTTTAAAATAATTATGACAGTAAACAAATATAATTATTAAACTAATCATCATTAGGTAAAGAAAAGCAAGATTATGTCACAGATTCCAGTTTACTAGGGTATAACTGTAGTTGAATCCTGATAATGGGATTTTTTGACAGGTTTGAAATGGATAGACACAGGAATAAAGTGAACTGGCAATATCTACTAACAGTTATGCTTGACCTGGTTATGTTAAGGAGGTTTGTCAGGAATTCCGAAGAAGTTGAGGAAACAGCAGGCAACCTAATGGTAGCTGAATTTCAATTTAACAAAGTGCAAGCTAATACTGATTGGAAAGGACACATTAATCTGCTTTTACACATTTAAATTACTTAAAACAGTTGTTGTGAATGAAGTGTAATCTTTCTCTCTCTTTTTCTTTTCATCATCCCTGACAGCCTAATCATTGTTGGTTGCATTTGATGGTCCCTGAATTGTCAAAGAGTCTGAATAATCTTCTCAACAAATTTACAGAATTGCCAGAAATGCCAGATGTCTTGAGTAACTATTCAATCATCAATAATCTCAGAAGGATCATTAATGATCTAATGCAATGCCTGTCATCTACTAAATATAAGGTAATATTCCAGCACTGATCTATTGTCATTATATCTAAAGATCATTATATGGCTGTTAGTATGTATGTAGAAAAAATCCAGATAGGACACTTTCTGCAAAATTCCACAGTGCTCTATCAGCTTCCTTCTAAAAACTTTAAATTGTTTTTTGTCCTTATCTCTAAATGTTTCTGCTCTTACTGTGCCTGCAACTTAAAAATAAGGTATATGTTCTCCACAAGCCTTGTTTCAAATTGAAGATGGAGAGATGCTACTGTGCCACTTAGACTGGGCAGTGTGGCAGGAATTTGGTGACAGGGCAACAAATCTGGGCAGGAAGGCATATAGCCATATGTCCTTCCCAATGATCTAGATGTTGGCTGCATTTTAAGAATGGACTGGATTGGATAACTTTTGCATTTGCTCTCCTTTGTGTAGAACAAGGATCTCCAAACTTTTCACATGGAAGGCCACATATTTGCAATATTTTCAAGGGCAGAAAGAATGGGGATCTCCCCCCACATGCACACACACACACACTTTCTCTCTCTCTCTGGAATGGGGATCTCCCCCCAGATACACACACACTTTCTCTCTCTCTCTCTCTCTCACACACACACACACACACACACACATACTCATGCACATATGCCCGCCTGCCCGCCCACGCTCATGCCTACACAAATGGATAAAAAGGCCGGACAGGCCGTATGTGGCCCACAGGCTGTACTTTGGAGACCCCCGGTGTAGAAGAAACCCTATCTGCCACTTCTGCACCATATCAAAGGTCCCAGTGGGACACATTTTATAGCAGAATGCATGCACACAAACTTTTGTATTCATAAAAGTTGATAAAGTATTATATATACTGTATGTTCTGTAATGTTATAGGAAGGACATGGCTTGGAGGCTGGGCAGACCCTCTTCTCCAGCTACATGCATAGGACCGATCAGTGTATCCTGTGTTTACCAAATTATTGTGGAATTAGGAAATTCAAAACCAGAGGTGGTTAACACCTTTGTTGAACTACTACAATATCCTTTTAAAAGGAACATTTTTGTATCCTCCAGGACATGCCCAGATTGGGTATTACAAGTCTGGGGATGAAGGAGAGAGAAAAGCCCCCAAGTCATCCTGGCTGTCATATGTTGACTTTTGTGTTTCTCCCTCCATCCCCCACTCCAGCTTTGTTTAACCAGCTTGATAAGAAATCCTGGATGATAATTTTTTTGGTAATGTTGTAGTGGTTCCATAAAGATAGTGTTTAACCCTAATTTACCAATGCCTGTAGGCTGTGTCTCTAGTAATAAAACAAAATGTCCCTTTACTGTAGAAGACAGTGGAAGATGTTATAGTCTGAGGAGGCCATATTACTAAGAGTTCATTTTGAAATTAGCTGCTTAATTTTGCAAAGTGAAAGAAAAAAAATCCAAGGACTGTGTGATGTTCTGTCAGGGAAAATATTTTCAACTGAATTTGACTTTTGTCATTTATAAATTTAACCTCAAAATTGCTTACCTAGTCTGAAATTTGTAATTTATATGCTTTGTGGCATTCAGTCTATTTACACTGCATTGTGATAGCCTTTGGTGATCGCCTTTCTTTTAAAAAGATTTCTATAATTTTTCACCAGAATTTTAGACTACATCATGACCATCTTTATGAAGAGGGTACATTTATTCCAGAAGAGTTCTTTAGGCACTTTTATAGCACTATTGATGTGTACAAAATCTTTGCAAAAGCACCAGTACACAGTGATTGTGTCCTGCCGTCAACAACAGAAATTCCCCCCAATGGTAAGAGATTTTTTTTCTGTGTGGAAGCATCCTGAGATGTCAGAAGATCTGATACTTTGGGATCAATTCTGTATGACCTTGCATATGTGAAATATTAGAATTAGAATACTTTATTACGATCAACAGATCAGATATGAATAACACAGAATAACCGCACAAGGATAAACAGAATCAATACAATTGTAATATACATTATGTGCAGAAGACTCTTAGGGGGAACAAAATCTGTAAATAAATCTTAGGAGTATACCCCTACCCCCAGTTCATACATATTCATATATGGGTACATACATGTATATATCTACGGGATTAAGACACCATTTCTCGCCTGCAGACTAGTGCTGCTGCACAGAAGCTGGCCACTTTAATTGTTACTGATGGACATTGGTCTGCCTGCGGATAGCATGTATAGTACTCATCATCTCTACCGGGGATGCATTGCAAAATTGGACGAATAAAAGTATCACGGATACCAGTATAGAAGGAGCAATACAACAGAACATGGCCAACTGTCTCCACCACTACAGCCTCACAAGGACATAAGCGCTCTTCATAGGGAATGTTCTTGTATCTGCCAAGTAATTGATTCTTTGAATATAAAGTTTGAAAATGATTCTGTTCCTCATGACACATCAACATGAGATGGTTAAACAAGTCAAATTAGCGTTCATTATGACCATTTTATGAAATTAAGTTAAGTAATTGATTCTTTGAATAATTAAAACAGATTTAAATTAGTAGAAGTGGAAGCATTAATTGTTTGCTTTAGCAATTAAAATAATTGTAATATTGTTATTGAAAATTAAAAGATTAGGTGTAATGAATGAATATTTGATATCTTGTTTCCAGTTTCTCACTAAATATTCTTGACGACATGTGGACTTAGATCTCACTAGTCACGAAGCCAGATTTAGGCTTGACTTAGCAGCCAAATAAAGTCTGATTCCATTTGGCAGCTATGGAATATTTTCATCTGTATGAAGATAGTCGGAGAGGGATGAGGGAGAATCCCCCAGGACAGGATTGCAGTGGGGGTCAAAAGCCTCCCAACCATCTGCTGCCATCTGCTATTTACTCTTTAAAAAACACTTACATGGTGGGTTGTCATGTGAATATTGCTATGTTTAGTTTGGCACTCTGAAAGCTAACCAAAGATGGCCATGAACCACTGGTTCAGCAGTTCGGCATGGTTCATTTCCTGGCTGGCAGCAGTTCAGCCCCCCATCCCATCCAGTGGGTGCCCACTCAGTGATGATGTCATGCCCCTTCCAATCTCTTACTCTGAGTGAGCACCCACTGGAGGGAGTGGGGCATTGAACCACAGATTAGCTATTTGGCCAGGAAACAAATTGCGCTGAACTGCCAGAGCAACAGTTTGTGCCCATCTGTACAGCTAACCATAAAAAGTTCTTAATCATTACAGAGATATATAATAAAAGGACCTGGGATTTGGTAAAGTTGTGTATCTTTAGAATATAGGCATTTTTAAAATAAGTTTCCATGTTCCTTTTGACCAGTCTTACTTGTGAACCCCCCTTTTTTAAAATAATCTAAATCCGAGAATCTGTGATTTCCTTTTGTCATAGATTCCAGCATCAGTGTTACAAAGCCTTTATTGTTACATCCTTTTGCTGCCAGCCACCTTAGGAATGACAGCAGTTATGATAATGACAAAAGTAAGTATAAGAAATTGTTTTCATTTTTATTATATTTACGCAAGAGGTATGGAAATGAAAGGGGGAAAGCTCTGTATTATGCTAACTGGATATACATTATCAGTAAGGTAAAAGTAAAGGTTTCCCTTGACATTTAGTCCAGTCGTGTCCAACTCTAGGGTGCAGTGCTCGTCCCTGTCTCCAAGCTGTAGAGCCAGCATTTCTCCATAGACAGTTTCTGCGGTCACGTGGCCAGCGTGACTAGACACGGAATGCCGTTACCTTCCCACCGTGGTGGTACCTATTTATCTACTCGCATTTACATGCTTTCGAACTGCTAGATTGGTGGGAGCTCACACCATTGCGTGGATTCGATCTTACGACTGTTGGTCATCTGACTTTGCAGCACAGAGGCTTCTGCGGTTTAACCTGCAGTGCCACTACGTCCCACACACATTATCAGTATCTGTTGGCAACTGAGCATCAATAAATGCTCAGTAAATAATCACAGAAATTGGATTAGCTACAAACATATTTTGTACTTTATTACTGTATAGTAATATAAATGTTATTATAATTAGATATTATAATTATATTATAATGTAATTATCATATCTACTATTGTCGGCAAGAATCCTGTAGAAAAATGGAGTAGCCCTCCTAGTCAACAAAAGAGTGGGACAATCTCAAAAATGACAGAATAATTTCAATATGAATCCAAGGCAGACCTTTCAACATCACAGTCATCCAGGTTTATGCACCAACCATTGGAGGGAGTGGAAGACAGGAGGGCCTTGCGTGCTCTGATCCATGGGGTCATGAAGAGTTGGACATGACTTAACGACTAAACAACAACAACAATATAATTAATATTGTGTCTCAGCCTGGGCATAGAACTGACAATATTGTAAGAAGAAGCATGTGGCTCAGAGCAGGACAGAATGTTAAAAACTGGAAACTGAAGTGAAAAGAAGTGGGAGAGGGATCTACTATAGGCTGTGGTTGGTGTGGAGATGATCCAGCATCAGAATTGTACTAAATATAAATGCATGTTCACTGATGGCTACACATCAGATACGTAATTGGTCATTAGGTGTCCAATCCTTAGTAAAGAGGAACTGCAAAAATTACTTTGTGTGCATTTCTGGGTGCACAGTTTTAGAAAATCCAAACAAGCTGAGGACACCACTACAGTCTTCACTGTGAAATTTCAGTCAGTTCTCTAGCCTCTTGAAAGTCTGTGTACATAGGAGACATCTGTATGTCCCCAGGATTGTTATACTGTATATCCATAGGAAAGACCAAGGTGAATGATGCTGGTATGAAAGCTAAGAGGATTAGTTTCTTGTGATTTTCTTTTAATCATATCATGTGAGGAGAAATCTCAGTTATTTCTGACAATTGAGGAAATGTCTGAGGAAATGGACTTGTCCACAAGAGCCTGCAATTAGTCTTTAAGGTGCTGCAACATTTTTGTTTTCTCTATTTTTTTCTTTTTCTTTTTTCTTGCCTGACACTGTTTCCCACAGTCTTCTTTTTTGGATTTTTTTTAAAAAATTTAAAGACATGGTGTTTCTGCTTCATGGTTTAGAAGTCATAGCTTACATGTATGCTACCGCTTAATAAAATAGTTTAAAATCACACTAGCAGAAACTTATTAATTATGCCTGTTCAGAAACAGCATTATTCTTGGTGGTGAGTTGCAGCAAGTTAAAACATTAGCTTAGTTCTGGAGCACTGAGTCTGTGCCGTAGTACACAACTGCAAATACCTACACTAACATCTTAACTTGGGGCAATTTGCTACTGCAGCATAAAAGCAACAGACTGTTACGTAATCCATTTATTCAGAACACTGAGGCATTTTAAAGCACTACAACTGTTATTTTTGATTCCTTTACTTCATAATATGCTAACCATACACTGTCTAGAATCTTGTTGGCAGCTTAGACTTGCGTAAGGCAAATCTCAGACATCTTCGCGGAAAATTGCTATTTAATGAGCTGCTGGTTATGTTCCTGGTGACATACATGATTGTGCCGTGACATTCAATGAACTTATATGAAACATAAATTGATGCCTTAGGAATAAACAAACAAAACCATTATCTGCAATGTAAAGCTCCCTCTGTTGAAATAAGAATGACTTTTTGCATTGCTATCCTATCGTACAGTATCATCGACATTCATCATAATAGCAAACTCGGATAGTTAGTGCCATTAGGAATGAAACCAAAATGGAATTAAGGCAGAGACAATGGTTATTAGAGATGGTTATTAGACCAGTTGAAAAAATATGGTCCAATGACGTTTGAGCATTCCAGGATGAAATATACAAAGAAACCAACTAGAATCTCAATAGAAGTCTTGTGAGGAGATGAACTTACAGTGTGTTGCAACATTCTGTTGCAGACCTCAGTTCTACCATCCAGTGGACTGGTGTGTGACAGTCTGGCATGGAAACAAGGCTATCCAAACCTGATGTACTTTGAGTATGCAAAAATATGGTTAATTGTAAATTAAAAGAAAATAACTGTCAAGGTCAAAAGGATGACACCTCACCAAAATCACTATAGAACTTTATAACACCCCTTGGTAGTTTGTGTCTAAGGTGGTCTGTCACAGCTAATATTTCTTCATGAAGGGGTTAAATACCAGTGTTAACCAGATAATTATGACAATCATATCCCAGTCCATCTGGCTATCAAGGTAGAAATCATTTACTTACTCCTGCCTGGTTCACCAGAAATATAGATTCCCAACTTGTAGTACATTGCTACTTACACAGTTGCAGTTTTTTTCCTTTGTCTTGAAGTAACCACTGCCGGACAGTTCATTGTTGTTCAAACTTCCATGTAATAATCACATTTTACATTTCCAGGGTTACATTTCTTATGCCATCACTCTTTTAATACTTTATATAAAATTCAAGCTGTGACAGTTCCCCCTCTTTTACAGGGGTGGCGGTTGAGGACCCACTCCCCATTTAAGAGAGTGTTTGTTTGTAATGGCCAGAGGCAAACCCCCTGGGCTGCAGTTTACCCATCCATGCTTTAGACCCTTGTCTTTCTTTGATGAGGCCATTCATGGGCCAAGCAGATGAGCACGACACCCCAGAATTGTTTAAACATCTCCTTGGTCTCATCATAGACACCCTGTGTTCCTTCTTTAATAGCAAAATATATGGATGCTGGCCTCAGACCCGAGCTTGGCACGCACCATGGTATTCTTCAGAAGTGTGGACCTTGGTGGGGGGTGGGAAGTAGAATTTTTTTCCTTCTCTACTTGGGAGCCCTGAAGAATGGTTATACAAGGTCCTGTTGCAGACTGGCAGGAAACCTTTTCAGGACTAGGAATATACTGCAAAAATTTGTTGCCATCCCAATTTGTTTCGTATAACCCCCAAGAGTCACATTTCCTGAAAGGAGAAGTATGAACCAGAATGTAATCACAAAAAGAAGGCAATGAAAGTGGGGCAAAATGCCATCTAGGAGCCTGTATAGGTAGCAAGCTGTGGCAGTGCACTAAGCTTCATCATAATATAGACAGGGGCTTGTTTAAAAGATGTTTCCAAAAAACTTAAGTGTGATAGTGTTCAGAGGCTGAGGTATTCCTGCAACCATTCTTTTGGTGTGTGGACACACATTGAAAAGTGGAAGCTTCATGCAACTGCTATTATGATGAAAACACCCCCTCATCTTTTTGAGGCTGGCAGACCCTTCACGTTTTTCATATAAAAATCTAGAGGAATGAATTTATATTACACTTTGATCAGCATTAGGGTCACAGGCTGCATTCTGCATAGAGCTGCACTCTCAGCCAGCCCTCACACATGGATCATAGCTTAGCATTAATGTGACTTTCCAGAAATCATCCTATGAATTCTGCGGCTACAAGTTCTCAGATGTTCTGTTATCTGGAGAGGGAAGGGGGGATTCTCAGAATTAAATCAGTAATCCATGTATTTATAGATCTGCACTTTCTGAACTGGTACTTTGTATTTGTTCTTTTGCCCATTTTTTTTAAAAATTACATAACCAAATTAATTCACAGGTGCAAAATGCATTGAAGTAAGATAGATAAAAATCTTAATTAATTTAGAGCAAATCCCTGGGTGATGTATGTTGCACTAGAATTAGTATGTGGTTCGTTATGTTAATTTGTGTGGCTTAACCCACCTCGCCTCACCCCAGTTGGGAACGTGGTACATTCCTGAAGTTCAACTTTTTTATGGCTTAAGTGTTGAAGATGATATCTTTTCTCTATTCACTTAGAACAAATCAACATATTAGACTTAATAATTTTTATTTCAGTTTGACTCTGATCAGCATTTTCTACATACAGTATAAAGTACCAGAAGTGGTTTACCAGTCACTTCTGTTGGTGTTCTGGAACCATATAATTTGCTAAAGCTGCACATGGGAAGTCACATAACTCCATGAGCCACACATTGTGCTGGTGATCTTGGGAGGCTCCTCTTCTGGAAAGCATCTGCCGATTCAAACTGGCCCCTAAACCAGGCTCTCTAACCCACTGAGCCAAATTGTCATTCACATTTATCAAAAAATAGCCCTTACAGTTGCTTTGTGTTTGGGTGATAAGTGGTTAACTGATGAAAAAAGCAGTTTGGCTTTGGGATTTTCCCTTGCTTGGTATCACTTTTGAATGATAGTGAACACAAGAGGGTATCCTGTAGACCATCTTGACTGCTGCTATTGGTGTTGTCAGCAACCAGGCTGCCCCTAGCTACATAAACTTTGGCATCCTTTTATCAGCTGGTAATGCGGGCATGATATTATGCAGCAATATCGGCCCATTTCCTGGCATTTTGAATGATGGGTACAGAAGTGCAATATTCCATAATCATAAACATTTTGATGAACTGAATTTTATGGGTTTTTAAAATGGAAGTTTAATTATACATATAGTATACACAAATTCCAACAGAAATTTCCCTATGTAGAATTATTTAATGCAAGAGAATAACAAAATATGAGTGCACAATCCATACCATATTTTCTGGGGAAGGACAGAAGCAAGAGCAACTGAGATGTGGCTATAGCCCCTCTGCCAAAATATTTTGAAGGCTGTTTTGGAATTAATTAAATGGTGAAGCAAAGGTGTGAGGAAGTGCAACACATGCAGTGGAGAAACATACACAGCCTTTAACTTCTCAGGTAAACTGATGTTGCCATGCCCATCCAAAGAATGCAGACTAGAAAGTTATTTCCCAATTTCCAAACCCTTTCCTTAGGGTAACCAACAAGAGGAGGAAAAGCTACATTAGACTGAAAGCTCTTTGAACATGTTGTGTGCATACTTTCCAAAATATGCCATCTCACTTCTTGAAAACAACAACAACAATAATAACAACAAACAACAACAGCAACGATGATGATGATGATGATGATGATGATGATGATGATGATGATGATGATGATGATGATGATGATGATGGAGAGCTGGGACCTAGCAAAGGTCAAAATCATCCATACTATGTGGAAGAAAGACAGTGAAGAAAGACAGGGACAAAAATCAATTCATTTGAAATGCGGTGGTGGAGGAGAGCTTCACAGATTTCCTGGAATGCTAAAAGGTAGAAAAGTAGGTGCTCAGTCAAGTCAAACCTGAACTATCACTAAATCAAAAATGAGTAAACTGAATGTATCCTATTGTACACATATAATAGAAATACAGAACTGACTAGAAATGGCAGTATGACAGGGGGAAAAGGATATGCAAGATTGGTCTTTTCTATTTGTATGATTTATGTCTTGGGATGTATAAAGTTGCTTTTTTCTGCATGGGAGAGGAACAATTTTACTTCTTAAAAACTCATAACTCAAAAGCCCTTTGTCCGAACTTCCTCAAATTTAGCACTGAGCAAGAGCAGACCGTCTGCTATCCAAAGTAATTTCAAAGTTACTGTATTTTTCCCCCTTTGGACTGCCCTCATTTTTAAAATTGCCTTGTAGAATGTTGATGTGCACGATAATATAGCTGCATTTTATATAAATGTAGCACATAATACATGTTATGTGCTACATTTATATTCTGCCTTTCCCCACTGAATTCAGAACCATGTACAGTAGGAACTCCCATATCTGCAGAACTGGTATCTGCAATTTCAGTTATCAGCAGTTTATTGCAGCCCTATATACATTATACAACGAGGCAGACCTTTGGGCTTTTTCCTTTCTCCTTATATGTTATATAAAGGGTTGGTTACTATCCATGGTTTCAGGCATTCACAATAGATCATGGAAGGCATCCCCCACAGTTATGAAGGTCTTAGTGTACATCATTCATTATGTACTGTTCCCCATTTCATCCTCTCAACAACACTGTGAGGCAGGTTATACATTGGCTGACCCAAAATCACCCGGGACGTTTTACGTAACTTTGGGTAACTTTGGCAGCCCACATTTTCATGACCAGCTCATTTGATGGGCTGTGCCACGGCCCACATGGTCCATCAGAATTGCAAATAAAACAAATAGGAAAATGCCCAGACAACCATTTTCAGGGTTAGTTGTTTCGTTGGTTGGTTTTTACAGTGCAGTTTGGAGGACTGAGGAAATCCCAACTCCACCCAGTTTTTTAAAAAAAACTCCAGGAAATATGTCCCCCTCCCTTACATATAGTATTCAGAGCATGGGGCACTGTAAGGTGGGTAAAAAAACATGCCTGCATTGCCTCACTTGATACTCAAACTGCACTTCGGCTACATGTGGTATAGAAACATCTTGCTGAGGAGATATCAACATGGCTTCTGTAAAGGAACATCTTGCTTCACTAACCTTTTAGAAATCAAGTGTATGTCAGTTGGAAAGTAGATCAGGGAGATCAAGTAGACCTACACACTGGGACTTTCAAAAGAGGGGGAAGAAAGATGGGGGAGATATAAAAGCAGTGGTCTTGCTTTCTTTTGGCCCTCATCCCATCTGCTTTGCACTTTAAGGCTACCCACCACCAGCATGGGGACCCTGACAGATTATCCCTGAGGCAATTGTATGACAGGCTTATCACACAAAAGGTGGTTCACTTACCCTGGACAGTACTGAGGAAAATGAACTCTGGTCTAATTCAGGACAAAAGTTGTTTCCTGTGCTCCTGATAAGATTGTTCAGGGGAGGAGTGTTTAGAAAGAGAAAGAGAGAGAAAGTTTCCCCTTTTCTCCGCTATGCTTAGTTTGCATGGTATAAAATAACCACCTTTCAATTATGCAAGCATGAAGTATCTGTTCTGCTTGACTAAGATTTCCTTTTAGACTTGGCACAGGCATATAGGGTCTAAACAAAGTTCAAACAATGTTGGCTAGAAATCTGATTTAAAAAACAAGATTTGGTCTCTGAGACAGCTTTATAACCTGTAAATTATCAGGCTCTGTTTGCACTGAAGCTGAAGAGGTAGTTTGAACTGGAGTAAGCAAGTTCTTTGTGACAGGCGTAAGGTAGGGAATAAAATCTCACAAGCAGCAGAAGCATTTCTAATGAATCACATTTGTTTCCTTGTTTCAGCAAGGAAACCCAGTAGTCAATATAGTCTGGGGGCATATTATATTGGTGGGTCTTAGCAACTGCTTATCTTTTTTTTTTTTTCATTTTTTCTTTCTTCTTTTTTTTGAGTGTTATTAATTTGATTTTGTTTCAATTGCATTGTCAGCTACTTTTCTATTTAGAAGAGTTTGGTGTGTCATTCACTTGCACTGGGACAGGAATAGATAGCCCCAGTTTAGTGTCAGTAGCTCCCATGCAGTCCACAGACAGGAGAGTAAAGTCCTCCCAGTGAGTTTGCAGATAATGGCCTAAATTTAATATACTGTTGATGCTTGGGGGAGTCTTGACACCCCACCCCAAATTCTTTAGAGCAGAAAACCTGCTTTGGAGAATTTTCACCTGTCTAGGGCAGATTTTCAGGACAGGGGTTTGCTGCAGAAGGGGAAAGCTGCTTTCTGTGAGGGCAGTGGCTGTACTAGATGCTGGTCACTGTGTAAAATTGTATGAACTGCCTAGTTCCTGAGGGAAAAATATACACATTGAATCAGAATCATACAGATTATGGCAGCCACTCATACAGCTGTATACAGTACATGCAAACACAGAAAGACATAAATGTGTGATGGTGTCATATGCAAACAAAAGAAAGAAAAGTATTCAGAAATGTTTCACATTTGCAGAGGATATCTGGAGCACAATTTGCAAGTGGGGTTGCTGTCGTAACCTCTTAGCTCCCTAAACCAAGGCTAGGGAACATATGGTTCCCCATATGTTGATAGGCCACAACTCCCATGATCTCTTACTGCTGACTGCATTACCTAGAGATGATAATGTAACAGTCCAGGAACATGTAGAGGGTTTTGCAGTCTGCACTCCTAACACCTCAGGATATGTCGAACAGAAATAGGCCAAGAGCCACATGTCACCCATGTAACTTGTTATTGTAACACAATTATACTGCACTGTGATAAGGTTAAAGATTTGGAGCCTCTGGGCAAGACTGAAAAGCAGGATGAGCTCCAAAAGCTTATCCTAATAGACAGACCGTTATATCTTCAAGACATATCCCCTACTAAGAATATTTCTGACTGAAAAAGTGAAAGTACATATTGCACACATAGATGCACACATACACACACGTATACAGACAGACAGACAGACAGACATGCCCCTCACATGACTTAAATTGTCAAATGAGAAAGAAGCATGGCTGAAATGCACACATAAAATGAGAAGGTTGCATTGTTTGCTGCATAATCAAATTGCTTTGACAAAAGCAAGTACAAAATGAAATGCTGAACTTCCACCTAAATGGGAAAAGAATGTATTAGAAAGAGGACTTGCATAGGAATCAGTATTAATTTTGCATTGATTTAGTGGCTGTCTTTATGTAACATTCTTATTTATAGCATGTTTTTCATGTATTTGGTACGATTTCCATGTGATCTACGGCCAGACTACTAATTGTTAATAAATGGATTGGTGCATGTGCGTATTTTGACCCAATGGTCACTAGTTCAGCACCATCACAGGTGGTGCTGTACTGCTGAAGGGAGTTATCTGCGACATTCAAATTTATATTGCTCTATCTCTGGAGAGTTCATAATATGAAAACTGCTCAGCATATTTCCCTGCTGAGTAATCTGGTCTGGTTTGTTAAACTGCCTGAAAGGTGAATTAAGAGAGGAGGTCCTTAACTGAAAACCCAGTGAAGATGGTAAAAATGTGATTACTGCAGTTGCCAAGAATGTTTGGGACAGAAGAAAAGAGCTTGTCAAATGTTTTACTGCAGATGGTAAAAAATGTGATTACTGCAGTTGCCAAGAATGTTTGCCTTTCCAGATTCAGTGCAAATAAAGCTGTGAATATCAGGCAGCCAAACACTAATGACAAACAAACTATTGGGAAGGTGTATTATATGGTCTGCAAAGGTACTACGGAGCAAACTGGCTTCAATCAAAAATGTGTACTGTCAGGACTGGGGAAAAAATAATAGCCTCTTGGTAAATAACTGGAAATGCTTTTCTTTGCAGAAACAGAATTGGGCTTCCTCAGCACCCCCAGCATGCAAGGAATAAGCATAGCATTAACATCACTGGTGACTCTTTGTATTGGCTTTATTTTGGGAGCCTTATGCTGGAAGGTGAGAAACTGACAAGTTAAACTGTGGCTGAAAAGTGTGCTGCATTTAAACACAATAAAAATTAAAATACTATTGTGGTCGACGTATTAGAGATCTGTTTTTGTAGCCAGACAATCTGTTTCTGAAGCATTGGGTTCCTCTCAAGTAACAAAATAAAATCCAGAACAAAGCACACTGTTGTATTCCTCTCCAGGGAAAATTTTCCTACTTGCAGTTGGGAAGGTTGATGTTTTGAGGTGGCAGTTGCTGATCAAGATTAGACCACCAGTCCAGATTAGACCAGGAGGTTCTAATTTAAGCCAGAGAATTCAACTCCCTGCCTTAGTAGATGAACCTGTAGGTAGAAACTGCAAAAAGAAATGATCAGGAGAACCTGGGCTTTCAAAATAGTGTTACTTGATTAAATGATGAGAGGACAAGCCTATGGTTCCTCATTCCATATATGTAAAATCTAGAAATCTATAAAGCAAATCTTGGTTTAGTAGATACTTGCATCATTCATTGTTCGTTCATTTGCTTAACCTTTTTGTGATTTATTTGTCTTTGGCTGAATATTTCTATCCCTTTTTTTCATTGGATCAAGGATTCTGAAAAGGTGTATTGGAGAGGGGAGATTTTTTTATCACTTTTTGTGGGTTTGGAGCATTGTGTATAGTTATACAAGACAAATAAGGCTTTTTTGTCTTTGGGGGAATTTTTAAAAGTCACTACCTTAATTTAAGCAATGGTGAGAATCCCTTGTTATAGTCTCCCAAATGTGCTGCTAAAAGTGAGAGAATATTCCTGTTAATTACTATTTGATTCAATGAGAGGCATTCTGTGTGCTCTAAGGACCACCTCTGTGTCATACAGCCTAACTGCTGATATTACAAGCAGTGATGAAGGAGGTTTTAAAGTGGAAAAGGGGGATGGATCAGCCAATTTCTATATGTATCAGAGCTTGGCCAACTTGGCTGGATGATTCTGGGAGTTGTAATCCAAAAAGTATCCAAGCTCTGATACATCTAAACTGAGGTAACACCCAAGTCTTTCCCAGCCCTGTGAAAAATTATCCTGCCCTCCAGTCTCCAGGATTGTTTTTACACACATCACCATAAATACCCGAAAAACACTTTTTCAAAAAGTTAAGTCAACTGTATTCTTTAACATGTGGGAGTAAATTAGAACTTGTGTTTCACCATAAGCCAAAGATGCTTTTTAAAAAATAAACAACTCAAAGAAAAGTAAGCAATTATCTTTTATGTTGTACATACATGTTTTATATACATACTCTAAAGCATCTAATGTTTTTTCTATAGAAAACAGCCCACAAGCATACACTAGAAAGTGGCCCAAGTGAACGATCTAACATCTGCCAAGAGGATAATGAAATAAGGTATTTTGATATTTTTATATTTCTCTATGGATTTGAAACAGTTGTATCTTTTGATCTTCCAGAGTGGATTCATTGTTAAAATAATATGTTACCACACTGAAACATATATGTTATTGTTATATACCATCAAGTCACTTCCAACTGATGGCGATCCTATAAGTTAATGACTCCTCAGAGGTCACTTGGCCAACAGCTTTGGCCAGATCTTGCAAATGAAAAACTGAGAGAAAACCTCCATAACTGCTGTGTTTTCCTTAGAGTTAACACTTTTCATGTTAGGGCTTCCTTTTTTCCTGCTGCCTTCAACTTCTCCTAGCATTACTGTCTTTTCCATTGAGTCTTATCTTCTCATGATACATCCAAAGTACAGCAGTTTCAATGTAATCATTTTTGTTTCTGCTCAGTTCAGACTTCATTTTATCTACAGAGCACTTATTTGGCTTTCTTGCAGTCAATGATAGCCATACAGCTCTTCTCCAATGCTTCATTTTTTCCCTTGCCCATTTTCTTAGTTGTTGAACTTCCACACATATATATAATAACTAAGAGTAACATATTGCAGAGAATTTTGTCCTTGTTCTCTAGTTAAACATCCTTGCTCTTGAGGATCTTCTCTAATTCATTCATAGCTACCTTTCCATGTCTGTCATCTTCTGATTCCTTGGCAGCTGTCTCAATTTGGATTGATTATTGAACTGAGATATCGAAAATCTTTTTAGCTATTTCTATGACATGCTTGTTAATCTTAAAATTACATAACCTGTAGTCATTATTTTTCTCTCCTATTATTCTATTGTAATCCTGCTTTTGCACTGTCTTCTTGCATTTTCCTCAATGGCTGTTTCAGGTTGTTGCTATGTTCTGCCAGTAATACGATGTTATTTGCATATTCTAAACTAATGGTGTTTCTTCCACCAATTTTTGTTCCTTTTTAATCTGAATCTAATCTAGCCTTCATATATAATTGTATAATATAGCACTCTCCTGTGACCTTTGAAAATAACTATTCATCTTCTGTTTTCAAGCATCTTTTAAGACTTGTAAAATGGATTTTCTTGCCATACGATTGGAAAAGCACTTCTGAGTTGTTCTTTCTTTACCTTTTGTCTTTCAGTATGCTGCAGCAAAAAGACAAATCGCTTCTACAAGTGTAGCTGTTGCTTTTTCTACTATACACTGTTACTGTTCCATGTCTAGGTAAGTTCTGAAAAACCAATCAACCAACTCATGTAGGCTTCCCACTATTGTTTTCTAGCAACTGGGATGTTGAAATGTATAACTATTCTTAAAGTTTCCTTTATAAACTGGTGAGCCACCCTGACATTGATCTAGCCACTTAGTTAATAACAGAGTCACTCCGCAGAGTGAGATACTTTTTGCTGCCCTTCAGAGAAGTAGGCAAGTGAAGAGGCAGTGGCTTTCTAGGTAAGACAGATGAGCCTTTGTACAGTTGTAAAGGCCCAGAGCATGCCCTTCCTAGACTCCAGCATGTAATCTATTGCTGGCATAACAGCTCCCTTGGACACCACCAGCTTCTGTGCAACATAACTATATGATGCCAAAGGAACACTCACCATTCTGTGTTGTTTTCCTGCCCATTGCCCATGGGCTGGTCTAAGGCCTGGCCACTATAAACAGCAACGAAACTCTGTTTTGCTGATGATGTTGCTAGTTTGCAATGTTGCAGCTACAAGGCAATTCTATTGGATTGGGTGATTAGGTTCTTCACAAAAAAAGTTTTGATCATGCTATGCAATATCAGATTCATGAAGAATTTGATTCTCCTTGCTTTGGTCAAGTTCACACTTTTTAAAATAGAAAAATAGAAGGCAAGCATGCCTTTCTTTAACCAGGCTTTCTACGGGTTGAGAATTTTGATTATATAAGGCTGATCTGACTAATACAATACAATACAAATTTATTCTACAGACAAAGGCCTGATAAAGATCTGCCTAATAAATTTGAGATGTGAGCTCAGCTGGTATATTTAAGGTTAAAAAAGTTGAAGTGGCAATCAAGAAGGTCACAAGTTGCCCATCCTGATCTGTTCTGCCCATACTGTCTGCTTTGACCTTATTCACCTCTCACAACCTAATTTCCCCCACAGCCTCCTAAGCAACCATCACTTCAATCTGTCACAGATCTCACTCTCTTTACTCCATCAAACCAGTTCTTCTTGGCCTTCCAACTGTTGTTATTCCATGATACTCATGCTCCCTTCCCACACTTCCCTCTGTGATGGCAAAATGTCATGGCTATAAACACTAGACAATACAAGGTGGGATGAAAATAAAATTTATTACAGAGAATAAAATGTTCTAATTATTGTTGTTTGAAAGGAAAGTTCCTTTTAATTTGTCTAACTGAAAAAAATATGTTCAGCAAAATATCTTCCAAAGGCTATTGAGATTTTTTCTTCTTTTTCCCAATTTTCCCCTACCAGGCAGCTAACAGTTCCATGTTTGCTTCATACATGAAGCAGCTTTAAGCATATTTGTATTCCTTTTGGAGTGACAGACTGAGTCTGCATCTGTTGTTTGTTGCCCGTGACTCCATATTGAGGATCTAGAGCTGCGCACAAAGAGTGTGCTACTGTGAAACCGACGTTGAATTACACATCATCAGAGAAGAGTCTGCACTGACAAGGACTGTTATTTTTCTACACGCAGACAAATATGTGTTTCATTGCATCTTGGGATTTGAAGCAGATCTTGGCAGAAAACAAAACAAAACAAAATGCATGAGTAAATGATTCCAGAGTGATGTGATCCAAACCAAACGTCATAAGGAAGTTTGCATTTTGTAGACAGACTGAGACTCAGAATAGAATAAAAACCTTCAGCACTGTACATACGACTCGCAAATGAGGTTACGCAGCTGGACGAATGTGCTTGCTTTCATCGGTGGAAATGGGTTCATAGCAAGGGAAGTTTTCATATGAAACAAGGTTGAATATCTTTCAAATTGTAAGTGAAATTGAAATTCCATGTCGAAGAAAGAAAACATGCAGTTTGGCAGAGCTTGAAGTATCTGTTCAAGAGAAGTAGACATTGGATCATGAAAACAGGGCGAGTGTAATAGGATGGAAAATTGACTGCTTGGTGTAGGGAAAGTCCCATGAATGTTTCGGTGAGATACTATAGAATAAAAGCAAAGCATCTGGAATAGAATATTGTCATGAAGCCTATTTAAAATGTTTAAAAACACGTACCTCTCTTCTTGAGATTTTTTTTTTAAAGAGAATCAGGTCATCTCGATGATATCAAGGTTCAGTTTAGCTTTTACTGTATGTCATTTACTATTTTCAAATGAATTTTAAAAGTAATACACTTTCCATCACTTAGCATTCTCCCATCAGTTATTATTACTACTATTATTGGTATTATTAGTTCAGCTCAAATAAAAAGGAAAATACCTTCTTAATAGTTGTCAGCCTCTTGATATTATTTGTAACAGAGCTGTGGAAAGCCAATCTGATGTCACAAATAACCTGTTGTTCACAAATGTTAAAGAAGACACTAAAAACTACTTACAGCCTGTATAGAATGTATTTATTTTACCTCTCTTGAAAGCAAATAAACAGGGCTCTGTGTTCTGCAAGACAGCTGGATTGCTTCTCACTCCAAACTCTTTATCCAATAATAAGGTGAAATTTTTATAAGATTAGTCACACTATTGTTAAAAATTTCATTTAAAATGCATTGATAAAGCTATCTGTACTTTCAAAATTATTTAAACTGAGAAATTTTTACAGATTTATTTATTTTCATATCTACCACAAACTATTAGAAATAATATATAGAAACCTATAAAACATATGTAGGATTGAGAAATATAACAAAAAATGTGACATTTCTAAAGCCCTGTCTGATTATTTGCTGAGTGGTTAAGCTAAACTCATAAGGACTGCAACACAACGTATATTATTGTGAAAGAGATTTGTGTTTGTACAGAGATCTGTGCATCAATTCCATCCTAACGCTGACCTATTGCATTGGTTATGGAGCCCCCAGAGCCAGTCCACTGCGTAGCTAGTTGCTTACAATAACCGCTTGGGTTAGGACCTAACCTGACCCAGCTTGAAAATCAGATGTGAAATTTCTTTTCAACCTCAAGAATCTAGAAAGTTTTACAGGAATAATGGTCCAGTACAGGTCTTAACAAAGTAAACCAGAGCCTTATTCAACAGTTAACATGCCCCAATAAATCACTAAACCCATTATAAACATGACTACAATTTTACATTCCAGCAAGTTCTAAATGTGTGCAATAAGTGAAACCTGTTTTTTTTTTAACTGTTCACAAAGGAACAAGGAACATAGTTATTTGATCAATATGGCTCTGAAGACATTTGCAAAATGAGTGAAAATTTATAGTACATCTTGTGCAAAGCTTGGTTTACAATGCAGGGTTCATAATAATGCCGCTTCCTCTCTGCCCTGAAAACAGAACAACACAAATTTGAGGTCAAGAAGCATTAGCAGAGCCAACTAAAAATCCCAAGTATAATCCTGCTTCCATTACTATTCTTGCACAACAGTCATTGTTCTTGCTTTTGAATGTAAATAGCCTCCATTAGCACAAAGTGGAATTGCATCCTATCAAAATTTAAGCTGAATAATCATTTGGGCAGTTAGTAACATTTCCTTGACATTTTCTACTTAAGAGGTTTGGCTGAGTATTTCAGTTAAATGCCACAAGGAAGAAATGTCTGGGGAGTACTGCTGCACCTAATTCTAACTCTAGTTTCTAATGGATTGGAGCCAAAGGTATTCTTTTTCTGACCAATAGAATCCTTCACTGGAGCAAGGAAACCTTGGGATCCAACCCAGTTTGTTTATTGGACACCAACTGTTGGTTGTGCTCACAGATCCCCTCCTTTTCTTGTGCTTTGCCATGACTTATGGTGAGATTTTGAATTCCAGAATCTCAAGATTAGCTGTTGCTGAGTTTAAGGAATCCCAACTCCACCACAAAGGCAAAATCCTTGTCTAGGATCAAGCCCTGTCATTGGAGTGTGATGGTTAGAGTGGCCTTTAATGCCCAGTAGTTCAGAGTAGTCAAATGGTCCAGTGTGTTTTGCTTGTTAAGGACAAGCAACCTTCCCTCATGGACTCCCCACAGCTAATCTTCCTAATCAGAATTGCACCCACTGCTTTGCCACCAGCATTCAGAATCAGTAATGTATGTATACATGTGCAGAGCACATGTCTTGTTTTAAAGCAGAAATGAAGCCTCCTGATGCATGAGTCCTCTTAAAAACAGAGTGTACACTATCCATACCTCCTTATAGCAAATATAGACTTTTTGCCAGTGGAACAGTAGCAAATCTTTTTTAAAAAATTAGCTTTCTGCCTGCCACATTTCTGAAATTCAACAAGGGGCTGTGGATCTTTGTTCGCAATAGGCTCCACATGGCATACAGCCGTGAGTTTAGAAAGTTAACAATACTTCATGACATGCCAGACAGAGCTGAACAGCTTTGCGAGGCACAAGAGTCTGTTTTAATTTTCAACAGTGTAAATTGTACCCCCAATATTTCTTTAGAGAGGCTTTCACATATACTTGGAGAAAGAGCAAACACCTTTCAGAAAGAAGGCAAAGAGGCTTGTAAAAGGATATCACTGAAGACCACCTAGCACAAACTATTTGCCTAGTAATACTCTTTAGGCATTCTACAATACTGTGTTCCAACACTGGCAGCATTCAAGAGAAACATAGACAACCTCCTGGCAGATATCCTTTGATTTGTATTCCTGCATCGAGCAGGGGGTTGGACGTGATGGCCTTATAGGCCCCTTCCAACTTCACTGTTCTAATCAGAACAGAACCAGGATGCATATTTCTTATAAGAAAAGAACCAGAGTTTATATTTTGACCTACAACAGTTTTTCTGGACTGCAGAACATCAAATCAGTTTTGAGTAATCTGTCATTATCAGTTCAAAGGTAAATGTTCAGACAGCTTGGATTAGGTCCCGAGATGTTGTTTCAGAAGCCGAAGGTTTTACCCCTGATTTAGTATAAGACCCTTGTGTGAGAAAGGCCAAAATCCTGTTGCTTAGCACAGTAGATCACACTAGAGTAGACCCACTGAATCAAAGGGGATTTTGCGAATTAATTCCTCCATAAATTCCTTTGATTCAAGTGGCCCTACTCGTAACTGTGAAATACATAAGTTAGAGTGGGCCTATTTGAATCAATGGAATTTACAGTGGAATTGACTCATTAAATCCCCATTGATTCAATGGGTCTACTCTCGTGTGATTTACTTTGCTTAGCAACAGGATTTTGGTAAAAAAAAAGAAACAGTGGTGGTCTTCTGTTTGCGCAAGGCAGGGCCTTGTACATCTCAAAATTGTACTTGTGGCGTGAAAAGTATGCTAGCTCTTGCATGACAGCTCACAAAATAGTGCTGGAATCACTTCCTCTTGTTCATCTCTGGATCCAGCTCCTCTTTGGGAAGGGAGTACTTTTTAAAAAATGGAGCAATATATGTCTCTAAAAGAAGCAGCAGGATTTATATATTAAAAAGTATAGATTATTTAAAACTCAGTTTTGTTAATTCATTATCAAGATCATGAAAGTGCATATGGTTAAATAATTATGTTATTATGTGTTATTCTCTTCTCTGGAAATTGGAGAACAACTAATGAGAGTAATGTCTGATTTGCAAGGAATGTTACTTGAAAAACTGAATGGTACTCATTTCACCATAAGACTGACGTTCAATACTAATGTGCCATACAATACATATTCCTTTCTTTTCTAAATATGATAAAACTCTCCAGACTATATGCTATACACATGTTACATCAAAGAGCTATTTCTATTTTATTTCAGCTATTTGGAGTGACATTTATGTAGTAGTTTCCCCTGCATCACTAGGAATTTCATTCAAATGTACTTTTTGAATAAACTGTGTATAAATAATTATTAAATATATTTAAGTTCTTGGAAATCGGAAACTTCTCCTTATTGAGCTAAATTATCTATTTGTTGGCTGATCCATGGGTTGAGATTGTGTATATTTCATGTAAACATAGCATAATCTTGTGAATTTGTAATCAGACTGAAGTTGAACTGACCAAGTTTATAAAATACAATGTGCATCTTATGTGTTCTCTTAAAAACAGATGTATATCTAGTCTTTTTTAATATATTGATTGAATCTGGAATTACATTATGTACATTTACATTATTATTCTGAACAAAGAATTACAGTATATACATTGAGGTTTATTGAATGCTTTACTTTCATTCATCCATAAAAATAAAAGAAGAGCCTTACTGGGAAAGATCAGCAGCCAGTGTACTTTAGCAGAACTTTATCAGCATAAGGGGAACTATGGCACTAGCAATGACCCTTTGTACTAATTTTTTTAATTTTCAGGTGCATGTGACTGGTGTGTAATGAGACAAAGTCACACACAATCTAAAATTGAAAAGGAACTCTACTGCACAGGCAGAGCTCCACCAGACGATACAGGCTGCTATCACTTTTCCTGCTGTGCTGTTAATTCAAGGAAGACCAGAAGCCTATTGTTTTTGTTTTGTTTTGTTTTATCCATACACAAAAGAAATCTGGAAGCTGCCTTGGTGAATGAGGTGCTAGGCATGTAATTTAACACGTGACTAAGTGCACAAGCAGCCATGTAAGAAGTACATGGACAACACCTTATCAGTTTAGCACACCATCCTCTGCAATTCCTCTACAATAGACATAACAACACAGTAAGAATTGGTGTAGGGCCTTAGCAATATTTCGATACTCATTGACTGCTTCTAACTTCCTCCATTTTAGTGATGCATTGCCCCATTTCTTAAAAGGATTCAAAAGGTCTCCAGATACTCTGTGAAGGCCATTTTTGTAATGTACAAGAAGATACTTCATAATAATTGGCATCAGATTTTATATTTATGTATTGACATGATTTATGTATATGACAACAAACCAATTTATTTTATCCTTCTTAAGATAAAATGATAAGGCACAAGGAAGAACTAAGATATTCTAATCCACCTGGCTTTTCCAAGTGTATAAATCTTCACGGATTTTCAATACTGGCTACTTGGATAACTGCCTGTGCCTTTAGCAGTGGAATACAGGTGACTCAATTGTAGTTGAAGCCAGGCAGTTTGAAGCAATTCAAATGCCATGGAGACCT